TATGGGGGGGGGGGGGTGTGTGAACTGCAGAAATTTGACAAGTGACTCTGAAGCACATGGCTTCATTCTTGCACACTCCGTGTAGCTAAAATGTTCAGAGCCATCCAGGGGTTTGGAATGGAAATGGATTTGCAATAGTCTGGTTATTTTAGGTGAGCTTGTATATGTTGGAAGAGATTCCATGGCTGCTTTTATAGGCTACCCTGAGGCTTTAGACTGTACTGAAATACTTACTGAGGCTGTTGTTTATAACTAACAAGTGCTACTTCTTTTGAAACAGTACGAATCGGAGCTATGCTTGCTTACACTCCTCTTGATGAGAAGAGTCTGGCTTTGCTGTTAAATTATTTGCATGACTTCTTAAAGTAAGTACTTCTGGAGTCTTTCAGCGAGAAAGTAAGTGACATAAACACAGGCTGTTGTCATGTGGCCAGCTCTCAGTGCGCGGTGGTTTTATAATACACGTGTGTTGTCTCGGGCCTGTGTGCGGCGTCTTCACCGGAAGGTTGTAGTGAAACTTCTCAAAATCCACTGTACGGTAACGTGAGTAAGGCTGGTGTTAACTTCTCTCCTGTTACACTGAGGTTGTTGCTAGTGAGACGTGTTTACATATCTGTTAGTCTGCACTTCTAAGCTGTCCAAGTCTGCTACTTGTTTCAAAATAAATGTTGAAGCATTTATTTGCCGTTTCTGTAAAAAGCAGATGACAATTATAGCAAACTATTAAATTACACAAGAGTTACTCAACAACAATTGGGCAAATGTTAAAAACTGATGAGCCTCACTAATGTTATTTCTGGGACAAACTGTCGTTGTAGCGTTGGTGTGCCGCACTGTGCTGTGGTGCTGTAGGCAGGGTAGGTTTGGGATGAAAACCTTGTCCTGGGTAACACAAGACTTAAATAAAAAATGTGATTCTAAAAAAAAAAAAACAAAGGAAAAAAAAGAAAAACCAACCCAGGCAGCTGTATTCAGCCGTTTGGTTTCGTTACTGCGCAGAGGAGCTGCGGAGCCATTTGCGTGGCTCACCTGCAAACGCCTGCCGAGTGTGAGATTCTGGAATAGGATTAAACTCCTGTGTAACGTCCAAGGTGTCGTACCTGCGTTCCCCACGTGTGTGTGCACACGCGTGACTTCAGCAGCTTCCGTGCATCTGTGCCGGGCTGCGGGAGCTGAGCTTGGTGCTCCTGCCGTTTCTGCCCATGTGTGGCAGCCTCCGGCTGCGTGCCGGCTCGCAGCGACCTGCAGCTTTTTGCTGGTGTGTTCCTGCCAGTCCTTTTGGTCAACTTTTACTGAAGCCACCAACTTCCATTTGTGACTGTGATGCGGAGGAGAAACGTTCTGTGTATTTTCATTTTAGTGGTCTGCTGATAGCATTTGGAAACACCAATTTGTAAATAATTAAGGGTAACAAAGCATTAAGCGCTTTGCCAGTAAATACCAACTTTACCTTGTGTGATCGCATAAGCTGTTGGAAGAAAAATCCTCTGCAGCAGAGCTAGGGATGGATCAGCCTGACTTCCAGGGCACGCTAGAGTCCGGAGTAGGTCAGAGTCCTTTGGGTAAGTCTGAAGTAAGCGCAGCTGCTAGAGGGCTTTGGGCTGTGAAGACAGCGACGTGAAGCCAGCGCGCTGACCAGACATCCCCGAATCCAGCTGGTGAGACGCAGCGGGGTCTAACGCCCATCTTCTGCTGTTGCACTTCGTTGGCCGCTGCTCGTTTCGCTCTTGCCATCACTGGCTGAGCTGTTTGAGTGCCGCGTGTGTGCAGACAGAACTTTGTGCTGTCCTGTTCCTTGTCCCTACCCCTTTGAGTACGATTGGTAGGAAATTGATTCTTGGCGCAGCAGCTGGCTGAACCTCAAATGTGAACTGTGTCATCCTGTTAATCTCAACCTCCCTGTGCTGGCTCGGAGCCGGAGCTGCTTGACAACTTGTTTGGAATGGATTTTTTTCTTTTTTTGGCATGAGCTGTTGCATCTTTAATTGCATTACACAGCAGACTTTGGTAGATACGCGTTAGATTTGTACTCCTGAAATCGCGTTTTATGGTCTCAGCAAGCACCTGACGATTCCCTCACGGTGCTAAACAGTGGAGACTTCAGGCAAGAAGACAATTTAATCTTTTTATTGTTTTTTCATAGGTATCTAGCAAAGAATTCCTCGGCACTGTTTAGTGCCAGTGACTATGAAGTAGCCCCTCCCGAGTATCACCGGAAAGCAGTGTAATGCCGTGCGGCTTTGCACTGAAGTGATCACGGGAGCCTTTAACGCTGTCCACTTCTGCGTCCCGCTCTGCACCTCCCCATCGCACAGAGTGTGTGAGCATCACGTGAATAAAGCTGTGTGTTGAAAATGGAGCTGGCATTTGTAAGTTCTGAAGATCTCTTGTCCCGAAATGGAAGCTTATTTAATGGGAACTCTTTGGTGTTTCTGGCTTGCTGCTGTTGTTTGCCTCAGTGGAATGTAAAAAGAATGCTGTGCGGTATTTCATTGTGTGAACTCTTCAGTGCTCGTGGGTCTGTTCTGACATAAGATTTGCTTCGCTCATCTGCTTTATTGCGTAGTAACGACAAAGCCAGACTCTGACCCAGGAGGGCTGGGATCTCACCTAGTGTTGGTGCTATTGATTGGTCTGACTTTCAAACCCTTTACTTTCTTGGTGTCGGAAGTAAAACGTTTGGTCCATAAATGTGTGCTTTTATTGAGATAGCTGAAGGACTGTGACTTTTTTTTATATTCTAACAATAGAAAGATGCATTACCATATTGTAGTGTCTTAGAAATGTTGGTCTTTCACAGATCTGTTTTACAAATCTTCAAATAAACTTTTTTTAATTTCAAATGTTGTTTCTAAAGTTTGTATTTGCATCAGTCACTACCTGATGACAGTGGCCTGTGAAGCGTGATCCGAGTGTATTCAGTGCAGCATCAAATGCTGCAGTGCGAACTTTGGAGGTGCGGTGTTCGTTCCGGTTCGAAGGACGGTTAGTTAAAGCCCGTGCCCCCAGTTCAGTGGGGGAAGTGGACTCTGTCTTCAGGGCGATGATCTAGTCCGTGAGTAGTGGTGATGCAGTTTCATTATGTTTGTTGCAGGATTCTTAAAGGCGGCTTCTCAAAAGCCTGAGCCCCGAGAGCAGACTTTGCTGGGCTTCTGCCAATCGCTTTCCTGTTCTAATTCGATTTTGTGCGCACGGTAGCACCTGAAGTAGTGAGCTGGGGGGCGGGTGAGGCGTGCTGTGCGTGGCACCGCTCGGGCCGCTGTCCGTAATGCCTTTCTGAAGCTGTTACATTCCCCGTGCGCCCGATCCCTGTCTCGGGACCATTGCCAGAGGAGCCGGGGCAAGAGCTGAGATAGGTGGTGAAGAAGTGGCTGTAAGAAGCGTGAGCTAATGCCGACAGCGGGGCTCTGGCCCTGCAGGGTGCCTGCTGTGCGTTATTTTCACGAGCAGATTCGTGTTGCGCTTGGCTTGGCCCTCTCTGTCAGGCATATAGACCTTACCTCTCATCTCGATGTTGCACCTTTCCTGCGAGCCTATGCATGTTGCCTGGGACGGTCACGAATGGAGTGAACTCTGAGCTGCACAACGCACCGCTTACACCGTGGTGTAAGTCTGTCCCGTCTGGCTCGTGTTTCTTTTCCCTGTTCCGCTGTGTGTTTCCCAAGGCAACTTGTCTGTGCTTGGGCATTGGGAGTCACAAGCTCCCTGTTCCAGCCCTCTCGGCTAAGTTCTGTGCCATCTCCTGTCTGTGGCTCCTTCTGCCCTTAGGCCTGTTAACAGACTCCTCTGTAACAGCTCGTTTGGGTCAATTTTACGGTAACTCTTTTACGGTAACTGCTTTCTGTTTGTGAGCTGTGTGCCTACGCACGTTGTGACTTGGCAGCGAATTCCCCAGCCCACTGGGCAGGGAAGCCAGCGAGCACGAATTCAGTGCGGCAGGTGTGCCGTGCCTGGCAGATGCTCCCTCAGCGTGGGGCTGTCTGTGGGGCAGGACAGCAAAGCATCAAACCCCATCTCGCGGGATTCCGCACCCCCTGTGCCAGGAGAGCGGTGCTAATTGGGGACCTAATAAATGTTCATAAATATCTGCAGGGTGGGGGTCAGGAGGATGGGGCCAGACTCTTTCCAGTAGTGCCCAGCGACAGGACAAGGGGCAACGGGCACAAACTGAAGCAGAGGAAGCTCCAGCTGAACCCGAGGAAGAACTTCTTCCCTCTGAGGGTGACGGAGCCCTGGCCCAGGCTGCCCAGGGAGGCTGTGGAGTCTCCTTCTCTGGAGATATTCCAGCCCCGCCTGGACGCGGTGC